TGAGCACATTTAGGGGGGCCCTGCACTCCCCCAGCCACCCACAGCCTGCCCGGGTGGCTGCCGGGACTGAAAAGCTCGCTCCTTGCACCGCAAGTGTCTCGGCCTGGTGCACGGCAGTCGTGGCAGCGCTCAGCCCTCCAAGCCCCCATGGCGGTGGCATCCAGGTGGTCAGGTCCCATGGGGAGGTGGGGGAAATGCCGGCAGGGTGGCAGGCATGGGGACACGTTCCCTTCCCTTCTCCCCCGAGGCTGGGGTGGGTGCGGAGCCTGGCAGCCCATTCCTGTGGTGCGGCCGCATCGTGCCCAGGCTGCGGGCCAGCCTCCTGCTGATGAAATCCTTGAGCTCGTCCTGGGTTCGCAGCGGTGCGGCTTTGCAGCGCACACCAGGAGGGCACGCACCGGGTGGAGGGCGCACACCAGGCGGTGAGCCCGGCACTGCGGGCTGAGGGGTCTCTGCCTCCCTCCTGGCAGAGGAGCGCGGTGGGAACGTCTGTCCCCCTCCAAGGACGAGCGCAGCCAGCGATGCTGAACGGCGGCAAGCTCCAGCCCTAATTAAAAGAGGGTTCCCGCCGCCCCGCGCGTGTGCACGTGCCGCTGTCCTTGGCCATCACTGTGGCGAGAGCTTGGCAAGACGCGGAGAGGGCCAGGACGTGGGTGTCGAGGCGGCGTGTTGTTGCAGCGGGTAATGCTAAAACAGCGGGTAGAAGGGTTAAAACGCCGCAGGGCTGAGCCAGCCAGGGCGAGGGGAGGCCGGGGCGGCACATCACCCCACGCCGCACTGGCAGCCTGGCCAAGGAGGGTCCCAGAGGCAGCCGGGACCCAGCGCCTCAGGGCGAGCTCAACCCTGGCCATCCCAGGGCCACCACGGGGGGACGTGGGGCGACGCTCGGAAGCATCGCGACGAGGCGCGACGAGGCGAGGGGCAGGGAGGCAGGGCTGGGCTGCCGCTCTGTTTGCAGGAGGCAGGATAACCCCGGGCTGACCCCTTTCACACACACCGCACAACACCCCTAAATCAATTGCATCTTATTATTACAATATCAATATACAATATTCCTACAATAACACCATTGATTTTCTACTCAGAGGCTGCACCTAAGTCTGTTTTAAAGAGGAGGGAGTTAATAGTGCCCTCATTAAAAATCTATAGATTACCCCCCACCTCCAAAAAAGAAAAAGCAGTTTATATTCATTAGGGCTATTGAATATAAAGTAATATGTTTGTGTAGGACATTGGAGTAATGTGATAATCCGTCCGCATATCAGGGAGAAATCCACTTAGCAACCCTGTCAGCTTGACAAGAAAAATGTGCCCATAAAGTCGGGAATACATTGAGGGAGCGAGCGCGAGGAGAGCGGGGGCGCGCGTGCGTGCGCGCGCCTGTGCGGCACCCGCAGAGCCGTGCCGGCCGGCGGCACATGGCCACCGTCACCCCGTCCCCTGCTCAGGCCTGGGGACACAGGTGGGCACCCCGACGGACCCTGGAGGTGCCTGGGACCGGGGCAAGGCGGGTGCGCCGGGATAGGGGTCGTGGGGGGCTCCGCACCCTGCCAGCCTCCGTGGCCCCAGGCAGGGTCACCCTGATGGGACAGGGCTGGTGGGGGCCAGCCTGGGTGCTGGGGCAGCCCCGCCGTGGCCGCGTGCCCCTGGGGAGAGCCGGGCTGTGGGGTGCAGGGTGGGCAGGGCTGCCTCGGACCCCGCTCGTCCCCTGCCCCGTGGTCACCTTTGCGATGGATTAGGCACTGAAAGAGCAGCAAAGCAATCCTGTTCGCGCTCTCTTAGGCTGTCAATTGCCATTTTTGTAATAGAAATTCCTTTCACAAGGTAACGACGGCCAGATTTAGAGGATTTCATATCGCTAATAATTCCCCAAACAGCCATCTGACTGTGTTGTTTTAAAAGCCGCTTAGTTTTTTGCTTTGGAGTTTATGAAAATCTCCCACTCTAATATCCCGAGAGCCAGCCTATAATTGTGTTATTAAATCAATCGGAGCGGATTACATTGTAAAATCAATAGATGGCTGTAATTGCATATTAGAAAGTTGTTCTGCTGTTGTTGATTTTTTTTTTACATGGATAATTATAATAAGCGTGTTTACCTTAGTGCTGATTTGGAATGAGTCTCACTAAATGACTTATGACGAGCTTGGCGCTCCCGCTGCCAGGGGGCCGTGGCATCGTTTGGGACGGCGAGGACAGTGCTGCTGGCACAGGCGTGTGGGTGGCACCGAGCCTCTGGGGTCCCACCGGCTTTGCAGGGCGGTAGCCAGGAGCCCAGGGTGGCTCCCAGCACTGGCACCCAGTGTGAGACCATGTCAGGGCTTTGGGGAGACGGCTGGGGGGGCTTGAGAAGCAGCCGGTGGTCCCAGAGGGCCTCCCCGCAGACCAGCTTGGGGGTCCCAGGAGGTGCCGTGGGGTCTCGCTGCCAGTTTGGCCACTCCCCAGGTCTCTGCGCAGTTTCCCTTTCAGCAATAGGGAGCAATAGCCAAGTCGCGGCAGCCCACACCGGCCCCTGGAGACCCACACCAGCCCGGGGCGATGCTGCGGGCAGGGAGGTGGGCAGCGGGATGCCTGGGAGTGGGGAAGGGCAGCGGCCAGGGCTGTGCTTTAAAATCCAAGCCGCTCGCCTGCCGCCTGCCTGCCACAACTGAGAGGCCGGGATTTGCTTTGCTGTTAGTTTTGGGGGGGACCAGGCCGGGGCTGGCTGTGGCGTGGGGGGTACTTTGGCTGCAAACAGTTGCACTCCCCCTGCCTCGGTTTCCCCAGCTTTCAAGGCACCGTTTCCCTGTTAGGTCCCACTGGAAGCTGGCTCCAGGGGCAGGGCCGGTGCTGGTTTCCCAGGGGCTCAGCTGGCCGGGGGGTGTGAGAGGGATGGAGCAGGGGGTCCTAAGGATGGTGAGGGGCTTGCTTGAGCAGGAACAAGTGGCAGCGGGAGCTGGCACTGTGGCTTGGCTGAGCATGACACCTGTCATCTCCAAGGCCCTTCTGGAGCCATCGGTGCCACCTCAAGCCTGCAGAGAGGACAGAGGCGCAGAGAGGACAGAGGCACAGAGAGACGGGCTTGTCTCTGCCCCTGCGCCAGCCAGTGGGACTGGGGACACCTCTCCTTCATCGGGCTGTCCTCATGCCCGGCTCCCTTCCCTGGCCTGGCACACCGGCGAGGGGAACGTTGGGGGGACGCTCGGGAGGCACATGGCTCTGATGGGGATGTTACCTCTCCCACTGCCGGCCATCAGCCGGGAGGGTCCCCGGCAGCTCAGGGCAGTCCCCCGGGGAGCTGCGCGCGGCGGAAGCCCCCTGCAGCTCCCACCGATGCTGGGGGACGGGTGATGGCTGGGCCACCAGGTCGCCGGGCGCAGCGGGGCTGGGCAGGGCTGCTGGTCTGGCAGGGAGCGGCCAGGCGGCCTGGCAGCCCCGTCCCTGCAGGCAGGCGCCCGGCGGCGGGGCAGCGCTGCCCGTCTGTGCGGGGCCCTCAATCCGGCATGCAGCACTGTCAGCAGGCAGCCTGCTGTCTCCTAGACAGTGAAATATGGCCACAATTAGCCCGGATACAGTTCAATTATGATAAACAGCGTTTGCACCCTTTAAGCCGTGATTAAAAGGCCTCCTCCCGTTGATAGAGAGACCTAATTTCACATTATTATCGCTGTAGCTTGATTATAAAGCACTCCCTGGATTTACAGTTAGGAGATGGATGTGGAGGCTTCTTTATCATTTACACATCAGTAATGATGCAGCCTTCCCTCCACCACAACATCCATCCAGCGGCGGCGGGGAGAGGGGGCCCTGCCTGCACCCCCCCTCCCGGGGCACCCTCTCCCCGTGTCAGCCGGGCCCCGCTGCCACACGCAAGTGGGCAAAGTCACCCTTACGGTAACAGCTTGATAAATGGGCGGGCGGTAATGAAATGGAGACATCAAGGCGTGGGGCGAGGAAGAAAGAGTGGTAATCGGAACGAGTGGAGCTGTCCCGAAACGGAGGGGAGCGGGAAGAAGGATCGCCTCTGCGCCGTGTGCTGTCAAGGGAGAAATTACACATTTACTCTTGCTTTTTCTTAAGGAGACGGCCCTCATAGATCAAAACATGGATTTACAAGCCAATTTTCAACATGAAATATAGACACCAGGAATCAATTTAAGCCCAGCTTCTATTTTAGCAAACGGTGCCTGCGTTTAGTCCCAGGTAAATAACACCAGCCGCCGGAGCCTTCCCCCTCCCTGGCTCACCGCCTTGCCACAGCTCGCTCTGGTGGCCACGGTGCTGCCGGCCAGACCCCGGCACCCACTTCAACCACGGCCCTGCGTGGGGGACAGCTGTGGCTCCCTGGCCCGGCCACCCGCTGCTGGCCAGCGTGGGGCCAGTGGCCATGGGGCAGCACTGAGGGCTGGCTCTGGCGGGGACGGGGACGATCCCGAACCGCGGTGGCAAGCAGAGCGAGCCAGGTGCCACACAGGGCACCCGAGGAGGGCGAGGGAAAGGAGAGGACCTTGCTTGGCTGGTGAAGGGCAGCTCCGGCGTCACCTGCCATCCCCATCCCAGTGCGGGGACAGCCCCTTTGCTGGCCAGTGCCACCGAGGGACAGGGGCGCTGGAAGAGGAAGCTGGGGTGACCGGCACTGGGCTTGCAGGGAAGCAGCCGCTAGCCAAGAGTTGGGGGCCAGCATGGGTCCAGCTTGCAGGAACGCTGCCTTCCCCATCCACCGGCTCCCCATGGGCTGTGGGGCAAGCACCAGCCTGGAGGACCCAGGGATGTGTCAACCAGCAGCCTGGGCGTGGATCCATCCCAGTGCAATGCAGGGCCGTACCGGGATGCAAGTGGCCAGTGCCGGGGAGCCCGTGCTTGCCCCACACCACTGCAAGGCACTTGGGACAGAGTGCCTGGACCGGTGGGGATACAGGCGCTGTGCCCGGAGCCGCACGGCCCCCCGCGCCCCCCAAAGGGGACAACAGCTCCCAGTCCGATCATGGCTCTAACCCGGCATCTCTGTGCTCTCTCCGCAGACGACTGTAAGAACATCGCCAACATCATGAAGACACTGGCCCATAGAGGCTTCATCTTCAAGCAGACCTCCAAACCCTTTTGATCCCCAAGGCAAGCCAGGCAAGGGCTGCATGCGCCCGGCGCCGGCGAGGCGGGGAGGACGGGCTCCAGCATTAAAAAAAAACGGCAACCGAGGCCAGAGGAACCGACACAAAAAATCTCAATTTCAGCTGTTAACTCCAGTAGAGGTTGTATATATGGGAAGGCAAATCTGTGTAGACCTGATGTGACTCCCTCTCTGGGCTGCTCCGGACATTATGCCATGCTAGCGGACAGCCGCGTAGGGCGCTTGCACCACATTTTAGACTCGTAGTTTGTTCTTTTTCTTTGGCTCCCGATTTCCGTCCCTCCCTCCATATCCCACCCCGTCCTCCCTCTCCCGCCCCGTAGCCAGAGCATCCCCCATCTCCTCCCCGGCATGGGCCGTCCCCACCTTCCCTTCTTCTTTCTTTTCTCTGGTTTTATGTTTTCAGACCTCGACGGCTGCTGCAGCGAGGCCAGCGCATGCCCGCGCCCGGGCAGTGCTCACGGAGGCTCAGCAGTGTCGAGACGGCCCCTCGCCCTCCCCGCCAGCCCCCCCGCCTCTCCCCCGAGCGCCTTTTCCCCTTTTTGAGTCAACACTAACCCCTCTCTGACTCCTGTATGTGACAAACGCGATCCGTCTCTTTATGTTCAAGGTGAAGTGCCTGTATTCTCCGCTGCAGAGCCCCTGGCAGCCCCACCGCGGGCTGCGGGGCCCCGGAGGGCTCCCTTCAGTGGGGTGGGGGCCCGGCGGGCAGGCAGGCGGCAGGAGGGAGGTGACAGTGTCCGCACGGAGCCGCGTCCCATCCCATCCCCATCCCGTCTGCTCGTGCCTCTTGCGGGGCTGGGTGGGATGCCCAGCCCTGCCCCGGCCCCGCCGACCGATTCCAGCTTCACCGGGGCCAGGCCCACCGCAGCGCCGCGTCCATTGCCGGCGGTGGACGTGCCAGCACGCGCTGGCCCCCGGCCCAAGGTACCCAAGCAGGGGAGCTGCAAACTGCCCCAGGCCCCTGACCCCACTCCCCTCCGACCCCGTCCGGCCTCCCTCAGTTCCCGAGCTGAGGCTTGGCCCCCCACATGCCCACGGTCCCGGCGGGCCGTGCCATGTCCCTCGCAGGTCCCCGTGGACGCTCAGCAGCAGCTGGCTTGTTGCCTGAGAGAGTTGCCGAGCACATCCCCTCCGGCTGGGTGGGCTCCCGGCCGGCCAGGGCAGTTGGGGGGCAGCCGTGGGGCAGGCTGAGGGCGCACGTCCCCCCAGTGTCACCCAGCCCCAGGGCCCTGCTGAATGGAGCCCTCATCCGGGTGCTGACCTGCAGGGAGGCTGCAGCCCCGGGCCCGTGCGTGCATGGCCTGGAGCGAAGCCGGTGACGGCAGCCAGAAGGGCAATACAGGCACTGAACTTGGCGGTACATGACTGCATGGTGTGTGGTGTTCCAGTTAAACCAACCGATAATGCAAACCCAGCATTTTCATTGTCTAGTTATTCCAATCCTTGCTGTAAATGTGCCACATGAATAAAGTTTGGGGGTAAAGGAGCCCAGGCTGTGCCCATGCATGTGCGAGTGTGTGTGGGGGGCGGAGGCGGGGGTGTGCCACCTGGGAGCAGGTGCCCCACCAGTGGGGCTGCCCTCACTGGGGAATGGCATCGCAGCACATCCACGCTCCCCAAAAAGGCAAACTTTTTGGCTGTGAAAGGGAGGTTCAGGTTCCCTGCTGCTGGGAGCACTGCCTGCTCTCCAGCACGGGCGCCACGGGTGGGCCCAGCAGCCTCCCCCACCACCTCGGGTTTGCTTGCGCCCCAAGACAGCACTGCCCCAAGGATGCCACCAGCCCATCCCAGTTGGGCTGCACCCACGGGTGCACCCCAGCGCAGCCTCCTGCCCAGTGCAGGGTGGCGGCCACCACCACGTCCCACTGGCAGCTGTCATCCCGCCCTGCAGCCTGGCACGCTGTGCCCACACGGCCGCTACCGCGCTTAGACCATCGCCGCTACAGGCTGGAGCCCGCGTGGCTCTGCCCAGGGCGCCGAGGCACCTGCTCTGCCCCGGGCAGCAGAGCCAGCGCGAGCACAGCACCACAATGCGCAGGAGCCATACTGAGCCCTGCAGGAAACGGCACCACATCCAGGTGCCCAAGGGACCCTGCCCTGCACCGTGGTGCCGCTGGGTGACAGGGACGCAGCTGTCCAGCTGGCACCCAGCGGGCAGCTCCCGCAGGGAAGGGGCAGCCCCAGCCCACTTGCTCCAAGCAAAGGTCACAGGGGTTTTAATGGCTCCCTCTGTGCAGCCCCTGATCAGCTTTATTGACCTATTTTCAATGGAGTCGTCTAATTAGTTTTCTATGAAAACTAAGAACTTGGCCTTTGCCCTTTACTCCTGCAGACGAGAATGTGACTCAGAGGACGTTGTCACGGTGGATCGATCACCAGTTACACGCGAAAGGCAGCACGGAGGGGACGCGGGGCGGGCAGGCGGGCAGCAGGGCAGCAGCCCAGAGCGGGGCACACAGCTGGGGCCATCCATGCCTGCAGCAGCTGCAGAAGCAGTGCACGAATCCAGGCTCCCATCCCTGGCATCAGCGATGCCTCAGCCTCTCCAAGGCCCGGCAAAACATGGGGTGCAGGGACCAGGGGTCCCTCTCACCCCAGACTGAAGCCAGAGGTGTCCGCCTGCCTCGGGCAGGGCAGCGGGAGAGGAACTGGGCCTGACAGCGAGTGCTGGGGACAACACGAGTGTTTCCTGGCAGGGGCATCCCCTCGCCCAGGTGAGGCGGTGCTTGCAGGTGTGGGGCACGCGTGAGCCGTCGGAGGAGAGCCGCTACACAGGGACTGGGTACGCAGGAGCTCCCCAGCCCGGTGCAAGCAGCGCTGCAGCAGCCCGGACAGCTCACACCACCTCCTCCCGCTCTGCACAGGCTCAGCAGGGCCAATGACGTCTCTGCTCCAGTATAAGTGACGGGTTCTGTATTTACAGGGAGGCTCACAAAAATCTGGCGTGTAAAAAAAAAAACAAAAACAAAAAAACCAACCCAAAAATCCCCCAAAACCCACCAGAACAAACCACAGCTAATGCTAGCGGCCGTGGGGCAGCCATGCACAGCCTTGGACAGAGCAGCAGCCACTGGCAGAGCCCTGCACAGTCCCGCAGCCACCCTCCAGCTCCTGCTGCAGGTGTCCGGAGGTGGCACCGCTCTGGGGGTCAGATGGGGCTGGGGCCGTGGCGCTGGGCAGGGGACAGCTCCCACTGTTCTCTGGAGCACTGCAGAGTTTGCCCCAGCAAGGCCCCCGTCCAGCCCCAGCGCTGCTGGCAGCCAGCTGTCCCCGGGGGCTGCGGGACAGGACGGCACTGACCCTGCACACAGCTCCGCACCTCTCCCCGCCCAGCGCAGGGGGCTCACGGCTTCTTCACCTTCTTGACAGAGGAGGAGCTGGAGACCGACTCCCTTCGCTTTCTCTGCTCCAAGAGCAAGACAGGAAACAAAAGAAAAACCAGGGTCAGCGGGTGGGAGTGCTTGGGTCACACGGAAAACCCAGCCGCCTGCCCTGGAGTCGGCCACGGGGGCTCCGGCATCACACCCAGCAGTGCCCAACGGACCACGCTGCCATCTGCCCAGCTGAAGGCAGAGCCAGATCCTTGCATGATGGGAGGGACAGAGCTAATCCAGCAGTGACAAGGGGCTGGGATGGCACCCTTAGAGGGGATGTCACCTCCCTGACATGGACAGGGCTTTGGGATGATCATCTTTGCGGTGCAGGGTCTGGGAGTAAGCAGGAGAAAGGGGCTGCGCTCTACAACACTCCAGTGCTCCCAGGAGCCCTGACCAAGCAAGCTGGTATGCAACAAGCCCTAAGGAGCAGAGCCTTGAGAGAGGGACAGAGCAGCTCCACACTACAGCCAACTGTGCCGGGGATGCTGAGCACAGGACAGGGCAGAGCCTGGAAATGCTCCTCCACCATCCAGACCTGCCGTGAAGCAGCCCAGGAGCAGAGCAGAAGGCTGACAGAAAACCACAGCTCCTCAAAAAACCCACCTCTTTTCTGGGCAGTGCACACCGATTCACCCGAGCGAGACTGGCGGGCTGGGGTGAGCCTCGCCCTTCACAGACAAGGTTTCAGGGCCGAATCTGGCCACAGGAAAGACGGGGCCATTCGCACCAAGCGGGGAACGTGACCCTACCCCTATCACTGCATTGCAGTGAGACTCACTACGAGGCGCTGCACAGACGCTATGGCCAAGACGGCGGCAGGTTCAGCACCCAAAGCCGGGCTCCGTGTGCAGGGTGCCCCAGGCACGCCAGAGCCACCAGCTACCCCACGCACTGGGTGCCGTAGGGACACAGTGCCAGAGCCCTGGGGGCCCCGCTGCACAGCGAGAGATGGGGTCCACTTTGCGCAGCGCAGCACACCACAGGCACAGTGACCGCAGTCAGGTCCCCGCTGTGCCCAGCCCCGCAGCCATCCCATCCCCAAAGGCCTGCAGAGCCACTGCCCTGGCTGGCAAGCACCCAGGGGATGGACGAGGCAGCACCGACACGCTCTCCAAAATAAGCCAGGCCTGCCCGTCCCTGCTCCTCCAGCCCTGCCGGTCCCGGGCGCGTGTGCTCCCGGCGGCAGCACGCGTGGTGGGAGGCCCTGCTGCCTCCCTCGGCGGGAAGGCGGCCCCCAGTCCCCCCTGGGCACTGGGCAGACGGCAAACAGAGCATGGAATTTGCACGGCTAAAAGTTAAATACAACACACACACGGATTTCGTCAGAGGCCCTGGCACGGCTGCCTTTGTGGGATCCGATTAACGGGGAAATAAAAGGGCCAGAGAACCCACACAGCAGTGTGAACAGATGCCCTATAAAAATCAAATACATGGTAATCAAGGGGACCGAAAAGTACATTTAAAAAAACAAAAACCCACCCTGGAAACAAAGGAACTGGGCTTTGTGGCTTTCCTGGGAGGGCTGCGGAATTAATGGGGAAGAGCACATGTGTTTGATAATCTTTATATGGCAAAAGACCCATCTTTCAAATATGTCACAAATTCATATTAATCACCTTCCTATTGCCTTCTGTGGCACAGCTATTCCAGTTGCCTTGGGCAAAATTGGGAACTGTCTGGTTAAAAAAAATGTTTTACATTATAATTTACAAGAGCCTACAAGTCTAGTTTCTTTTAATGGAAAGAATGATTAAAAAAAAAAAAAAAGAGAGGAATATATATACACCCTGGTATATATACACTATATATATATATATATATATAAAAAAGACAGATATTGTAACTCCATCTGGAAAGAGAGAATGTTTGATCTTAACAATGTAACTTCTAGC